AAATGATTAAGCTTTCTATACAAATGAAAACACTCGAAGCACAATTAGCGAAAACACAAAACATGTTAAGAACTCTTGAAAAACGATTGACAACGCTTTAAAAAGAATATACGAAACTCACAGGAAAAGAAAAAAACGGAACAAAAATTTCAAATAAATCAAAGAAAACGCAAGGAAACGACTGTGCAGATCTTTACAAAAAAGGTGAAAAAAAGAACGGAGTTTATCAACTTAATCCAGATGGTAAGGGTTACTTTAAGGTTTTCTGTGATATGAAGTCATCTGGTGGAGGTTGGACTGTATTTCAAAGACGTCAAGATGGAAGTGTAAACTTCTATCGAGGTTGGAAACACTATAAACAAGGATTTGGCAATCTTACTTCTGAATCTGGCTCGGATTGGATAAAATATACCGACTAACATCAGCAAAGCGAAACAAACTTCGTGTTGATCTTGGAGACACGTCAGGAAATAAAAGATATGCTGAATATGATTAATTTTCTGTAGAGAATGAAAATAAAAAATATCAGTTGAGACTTGGAAAATATTCTGGTAGGTCATTAGGCAAATATGAACAATAACACCACAAAATTAAAAGGGTTAATAGGATAAAAATAATATTAGCATTAAATTAAAACGATTTGGATGCTTGGAATTTGCGTGAGCCGATTCTACTTTTTTGTTACATATTTGTCATAAAAAAAAATATTTTGTTTCAACTTATAACATACAACTGGTATGTTTGTAAACCAAAAATATTTTGACGTGTGATTACAGTTTTGAAAATGTCGGTAACAACTAATTTACAAACTGAAAAAACAATTCTGGACAGACAATACTAGAGAGATCATTCAAGGATAAGGACTAAGTTACTTATTAAAATAAATTGCAAATTCAGTTTCACCTTTGTGTGCAACAAATTATGAGTAAGGGCCTGAACATAATGTTATATAGAAAAAACACAGCAGTATTTAATATTTTCTACATAATTAAAGAACTAAGTGATGGCACACACACTGTAAAAACTGATTGGTTAAAATAACCATTAAAATTGGTTACTTCAGATGCATTTAACCACTTCAACTAATATTTTTATGGCTACTGTAACCAATCATATGGTTGTTTTAACCAATCATTTTTTCAGGGCATATTAGCGCTTTTCAAGAATCTTTTTATTGTAAATATGTTTGTTAATTGTGTATTGATTAAACATTAATAGTACACAAGCATGTAGTGACCAAATATAATGCATAGTAAAAGTTCCACTGTTAAATGTGTTTCTCTTGAATACAAATATCACCATTTAGGAACTGCTGGGAACTCATTATCCGCCCATAAAAACAAGTCGCTTACGACAATTGATTCAGATAATGATACAGATGGCGGAGGAAACTGCGCTGTAAATGCTAAAGGTGCTTGGTGGTATTATTATTGTTATGACTCCAACCTAAATGGGTATTATTATCATGGCGATTATCTACCTTCTGCATCTTGGTACAAAGGTGTTGTTTGGAAAGACTGGAAAGGATTTTCGCATTCTTTGAAATTCACTGAAATGAAAATAAAACCATCAGGAAACTCTTAATAAAGTAATGATTTCATGACGATAATGAGTACATCTGTTGTGAACTTTATAGATTTTGTTGTAAAGTTGGTTGTTTAGTCTTTAAAAAGAAATAAATCTCAACAGTCGTTATTCGTGGTTTTTTTATATGGATTTGGTATAATATTTATTGAAACCGTGTCGCAAAAAGGCAACCCAACTTCAGCTTGCTTTTTTGCATAACTGAAATTACTAAACAAGTTACCATGAGCTTTTGAATGATGTGTTCTTTGAATTTAATTACAAAGTTCCTTTTTACCCCCTTGAAGAAGGAAAAACAGCGGCAGCAGTCTCTTATTTGCTACATTTTGAATTATATAGGTTTTAGTTTTTTAAAAGTGCTCTATATCTTTGATGAATTTTTACTGTGCTGAAAACAATTTACAGAGTTATTGACCTCTAACAAATGTATGTATATTTTCAATTCTCGCATCAACTTTTTTGTTATTTTACTCATGCGTTTTTGATCAACTTTTAAAAATTGGATTGAAGGAATGATCATCAACTGTTGATTGAATCTCTGCTACTCTTTTATTATAATTATATACTAGCAGTGGGTGTCAACGATATATATGAGATTTATATCATAAAGAAATTTCTTGTTAGCAAGCAATGGGTGTGAACAATATGTACGAGATTAATATCACAAACTTCTTGTATATGGCGGAGTTGTTGGTGTTTGTCATAGAGTAATATTAACGTAAACAAATGTCAGCAGTAATGTCCTAAATAGCGCTTAACAGCGTAATTGCGAAATTAAACAGCTCGTGCTCATTACCAATGCATTAAGCAGCTTTATTATGTTAATCTGTATCCCTTAGGAAGTAAGACATTGGAACTGTCGCTTGGCTATATTGCATACTTAATGGAAACTACATGAATGGATACTACATAACCAGAGCTTTTTGCATTATGTGTTCATCACACATCATGACTTCGACAACAAAGCAGGGGCGTCGGAATATATAATTGGGGGTGGGGTGGGGTGGGGAGTGTCGGTGTGACATTTTAGTAATTATAGGTGCCGATGTCTGCAAATGTTGTCAAGTAGTCACCAATTTTATATTTAGCAACGCCGGTCGTCTAATCGCGAACTTAGTAAACTAATAAAAGAAAAATTACAAAAGATTCCTACGTGATTGCTTTTAAAGTCTACTCCCTGCACTATAGATATGTATGTTTTATTTTCCAAATAGACTATTAGTAAACATTCCCTTTTATGGTAATTTCTCTTTTTTAATGAATAGTTTGGGAGGAGGGCACTGCTCCCCTCCTGAGAAAAGTTCTGTAGCAGTGCTTAAATAATGAGACAGAAGAATTACGCTCATTATTGAATGGAAGTCTGGTGCAAATTGTTTTCTGCAAATCGTCTCTTTGATACAACTTTAAGACTAAAAAATAAATGTTGATGGGGGCTTCTATGCTGTAAGCATTGGCTCCAAAATTGTTAGTACAAAACCTTTCATCACCTTGGTGAAAAATGAAAAATACAGAATCTACCGAAAGCTTTGAAGTCAGCTCTATTTTCATTAAAATTTAACTATCTAAAATGTATGTTAATGTACCAGGAAAGTTCTTTTTCATCTAAAAAATAATTAACAACAAATATTTTGTTGAACAAAATATTGTAGAAGAATTAAAGATGCATAGATCCCTACAGAAAGAAAAGGGAGAGGAACAGATAGCAACTTCTTATACAAATATACACGGATTGACAGGAAGTTCACAGACATTCGATTGCAGTGAGTTTAATCTTTTCCTTAAAGGCTTAGTTTCATCTTTTTTTTAAATGAAGAGACCCGCATATACCTGACAGGTTAAGAGCGTTTGTGTGTATTTTTGTATTTCTTTTGTATGCAGAGATTTTTAGCCATAGATGTATTATATTTACGGCTACACTAACTTTTTGCAACTTTTTTCTCTCTAATAAAATTGAACTTTGGCAGAAAAAAGTATTTTGTTATTTATAGTTAATGTTTTGTTACCTAGCTCATGAAATAGGATTTAAACTAAGGTGGACATCGTTTCAATAGAATTCCCAGTTATGCGCATATTCAACAATATTGCAATAATATGCTAGCTACTGTTTATCATATATTCAGCTGCAACTCTTTAAAACTAAATTTTGACAGTATTTAGCTCTCTCCTCCTTGGTGATGATCAAAATTGAAACATTTTTACTGAAATAATTTAAAATACTTTGTACACGTTCCGGCTTAAATCATATTAAAGCTTGTAAAATATTTATGGATTACCTAAAGCGTCAATAAGTTACCTAAATCATCAACATTTATTGCATAATTTGAATGACGTTCAAGCCACAAATTATATAAAAACTTGTACATTATTCATGAATTGCTTAAATTATCAATGGTCGACCACTAAAAAGGATTGTAACTGTAACAATAAAACACACAGGCAATGTATTTTTCACCAAATTGCCCAAATATTTCTAGCAATCGTTTCCTGAAAATAAAGCAATAGAAACGTTTTGCGGTAGATTCATCAAATAATTGACTTTTATGGTGTATCCAAGCTTATATATTTGAAATGTTTACATTTGAAATTTTAGTCAAACTAAAAACAGCTGTACACGTATATATAAATAGTTCTTTATGAAAGCAGATACATTACGGTAATCGTGCATGCAAACGTCTTTTCATTTGCTTGAAGTTATCACTCATTTCTAATATTATGCTTGCTAGTGATTATCATATATTTAGCTGCAACTCTTTGTAACTTAATTTTGGTAGTATTTAGCTTTTTCCTACTTGGTGATGATCAACATTGAAACATTTTTACTGAAATAATTTAAAATTCTTTGTACACGTTCCGGCTAAAATCATATTAAAGCTTGTAAAATATTTATGGATCACCTAAATCATCAATAAATTACCTAAATCATCAACATGTAAATGTTATTACAAAAACTTTTATCAGCTTGTTGAAAAATGCGCTTCATTTTTGCTGTCACGTACAAAATCTACCGAAAGCTTTGAAGTCAGCTCTATTTTCATTAAAATTTAATTATCTAAAATGTATGTTAGTGTACCAGGAAATTTTTTTCATGTAAAAGATAATTAACAACAAATATTTCTTTAAATAAAATATTGTGGAAGCATTGTAGATGCATAGATCCCTACAGAAAGAAAAGGGAGAGGGATAGATAGCAACTTTTTATACAAATATACATGGCTTGACAGGATGTTCATAGAGATTCGATTGCAGTGAGTTTAATCTTTTCCTTAGAGAGGAAGTTTCGTCTTTTTTTTAAACGGATTGTAACTGTAATAATAAAACACACAGGTAATATATTTTTCACCAAATTGCCCAAATTTTTTCAGCAATCGTTTTCTGCAAATAAAGCGAGCGAAAGGTTTTGCGGTAGATTCATCAAATATTTGACTTTTATGGCGTAGCAAAGCTCATCACATGTTTCCAATATTTACATTTGATATTTTAGTCAAACTAAACACAGCTGTACACGTATATATAGTTAGTTCTTCATGACAGCAGGTACATTACGGTTATCGTGCATGCAAACGTTTTTCATTTACTTGAAGTTATCACTCATTTCTAAAAGATGGTTGGGTACATTTTTGTGACTTTTCTTGTAATCGGTGCATGCAATGCAACGAACAAAGTATTCGAAATTCCACAAAGTGCATTCATGAAAATAAATGAATATGGTATGTTGTCAATATAAAGTATAATAATGTACTTTTATTCGTTTGCTTTATTGAAGAAAAGAAAAGCTTAAGTATGATACATGTACATCAAATTTTGAATAATCGTTATATAGCTTGTAGTTTTATTGTAAAATATTCTAGGTGACACTCTTAAATAGGAAAATTTTGTTCCAGTGTCTCAATTTAGCTTAGATGTTTAACTTCATTTCCACGCAAAAACTTTATTATTCATCTACAGCAGTTACAAGTGTAAATTTGAGTTATTTTCTCTTTTTGATTTACAGCTTGCATGACCTTTTTCGTGCACAAATAGAGTTACAACGCTAAAATTTGTGTTGTGACAAATAAAACTTTTAAAACGAAAAACGTTATAAATAACGTTGTAAAAGATATATGAGTATAAGTTATATATAGTAGTATAAGCTATAAGTTACATAAAGCTTAGAAAAGCTAACAAGAGCAGGATTTCGAAAAAGCCCTTTTAGTCATCAGCAACTATCTTCAGTATGCAAATCATTATCTGCATACCAACATTTGACATCTAAACACATACGTAGTTGCAACAGTCGTAGCAAGTTTGCACATATGGTATTGCTATGCAATTTTTCTGTGTTCACTCACTGAACCTTTTTAATTAAATAGAATGTACATAATAATCACACAAACATACTCAATTGGAATATAAAAGTACAGTCCATGTTGCTATAGATAAGAAAGTTACGACATTATTTTTGTTATATATGAATCGTATAACGTCCATCTAACTTAAATTATTTATGTAAGCCTTGAGCTTTGATGAATTAGGAAAAGTTTTCCAGAACCTGTTCAACAAGAAATTATTGATACGCACTGAATTTAATTTCGTTTTACTTTTCATTATGCAGGTGATGCTTTGGCACCAAAAGATATCATTGCAAGTCATGTCGTTTACAGTGCAATTGAATGTTCTTTTGAATGTCATCGAGAGAAGAGATGTTTTGGTTTTAACTATCTAGACGAGGCTAAAAAATCTGAGATAAACTGCCATATTTCCAACGCAACAACCATAAGCAGATTGAACACATTGTTCGTCAAAGAAAAATGGACTTTTTATCAAGCACTTTTCAAGACGGTAGGAATTTAACAAAGTCAACATTATTTTGTTATTCTATAATTTCACTAAAAACGTGCATTACGATTTCATGAAAATATTCTCAAAACTGTAAATATTTAAATGCCAAAATTTAACCCAAATAGCCCTGGGTACATGCTTTACTGTGCTTAAAAAGAATTTTGTCGCCCACATCCATCAAACTATTAATTTTTTTCATCGTGCTATAGTAAATATTGTAAAAGCAGGCAATTTATGTGCCTCCAAGCGATAAGTGTGCACAATAAGCAGAAAGTAACGATTTATCCACGATAACGTCTTCATAGATAGTTATCAAACATAGACTGGCATGATATGAGCGAAATAGTATGCTACACTGTTTACTTTCAGTCACTCGTTTATAAAGCATCAATTAATGTTTTTTTACCATGATACCATAGGAAGGCACACCTACCAGTTCCCCAATTTTGTCGACTGTCATCTAAATCTTAAAGCAAATATTCAGTTAACCAGATATTCAATCACTTCTCCTGTTTGAAATTTTTGGTATCACATGTATTTAGTAAAATAATTTTAAACGAATCAAGTCTGAGTAAGTGTTTAATTGAGAATTGTAAAAACAAACGCACTTATAAACAGAAGAACTCATAAAAGAAAATTTTGTAAGAAAAAGCAAACAGAGAACACCCAAATGGATTTCTTGTTCATAAAAAAAATTGGGTGCATAACATATAAAATTCATAAATATCTATGGCTATTAAATACCCAGTCCAACCTGATTTGTTCAAAGTTTTTTCTCCATCTACATGTCATTAAAAAAGGGTGAAAGTGATCAAAAATCTGGCGTTTAGAAGATTTGTTTTAAGATTTAGGTGAAACCAATAAGACCGGGCGAGTTGGCAGGTGTTCCTGTGATATAAAACAAGACTTAAAATACTGAGTCGGCATTAAGATGAACTCCAAGGATAGAGTACGTAAACAAATTCACGTGCATGACCATATAAGGAATTTTTAACTATTATGAAAGTTAGTCATATCTGAAAACTTGCTATTTTGTATTGTTAATTTTTTTTCTATTGAATTACATTGTGTTAAGTTTATATATTCGAAAACAACTTCAGTATAGAGTGAACAAAATAGTTATTTAGCACAATGGATCTATGCGCAGGAAAGCTGTGTAACAATTTGCTTAAAGGTTTAATGAGTTACAAAACCCGTAAGACGTACAATGCAATAGCTTTTTTAATCAAGCTTTTTTCAGGGAAAAGACTGTGCCGATCTTTACATAAAAGGTGAAAATAAGAACGGAGTGTATCAAATTGATCCAGATGGCCAGGGTTATTTCGATGTTTTCTGTAATATGAAGACATATGGTGGTGGTTTGACTGTGATTCAAAGACGTCAAGATGGAAGTGTAGACTTTTATCGAAATTGGAAAAACTATACACAAGGATTTGGTAATCTTACTTCTGAATTCTGGCTTGGATTGGATAAAATATACCGACTAACATCAGCCAAGAGAAATAAACTTCGTGTTGACCTTGGAGACTGGTCAGGAAACAAAACATATGCTGAATATGATTATTTTGCTGTAAGGAATGAAACACATAAATATCAGTTGAGTCTTGGTGCATATTCTGGTGAGTCAATAAGTAAAGATAAACATTTGATGGATAAATTCCTAAGCAATATTTTGATATATGCATTATACGTTAGAATGATTCGAGTTTGCGTAGACAGGTCTGCAATTTTAAGAAATACATAGATATTTTAACGGTTAACTTTGGTAACCTAAGTCTAGTTAGATCTTAAAAATTATAATCAATTTGATCTTACAAACTTACAACAAAATACATTGAACAAACATAAAAATCATTTTGTTGTGTGAATCATTATGTTGCACCCTACGACAACAATTTTGGACTTACAATAAGAGATCATTCATGGATTGTGGTTACCGTATCATTAAGATTAAATGAAAATTCAATTGAAACTTTGTAAACAAGTAATGAGCATGCGCCTAAAACATTGCTAAATTATGAGGACTTAAATGAACATTAAAACCTTTTATATAATGCATACAAGCCTGCAAGATTATTTATGTATGTATAAATAAAAAAATGATAGCATAATGCACTATCCAACAACTACAAACGATAACAAACTTATCTAACAACAATTGAAAAATTAACCTTCCACTCCTAATCCTTTTAGTCCTAGAGTTATACTCTGCTATACTGGTCACAAGCCCAGGACTTGTAAGTAAGGCTCGCTGCTTTTGAGTAGACTTGTCTTCTTTACAAGGAAGAGGAGTGGAAGGTTAATTTTCAAATGTTGTTAGATAAGGTCGTTATTGTTTTTTTTGTTTTTTAAAGCATTATGCTGTCATTCTTTTTGTTTCATAACGTTCCAAATATTTAACCTTAAGAATAGGTATAAATGTATATAATATATTTATACATATATAAACACTACTGAAATTCATTCAAGTTTTCGTGGATAAATTTAAATATAGAAGAATGAAAAATATTAATATAATTTAAGTCTCGGACAACACTACATGTATATCATCAAGTCAATAAACAATTTTAAAGGTCTAATATAATAAAAATTAAATAACATTCATTACTTAACATAGGAGTGAGAGTAATGAGTTAAGGCTAGGATGTGGAAATAATGTTCTGGGAAATGAAAGTAGGATCAAAGTCAAAGTCTTGACAAATTTTACCTTTGCAATTTATTTATTCCATTTTGAAACAAGATTTACAGCAAGTTGTTAAATAAGTCAGCTATAACAACTTTATGACAAACGGTAACAATATTGTAATGTGATTGTGGTTGGATCTCCCACATACACCAGAATATGTGAAATGAAAACTCAATGTTGTATAACATATTTTAACACTTATATCAGTCCTTCCTCTTCTACTACATAAAATAAAAAAAACTGATTAGCAAATCTCACAAAAGCCCCCCAAAAAACCGCTATAGGAATCTTCTACCAACGACATAAAACCCATTTTTTTCGAGTTTCTGCAAGTTCAGAAGAATTCTATAACTGTTTAAAATGCGAGCTTTGAAAGGTACTACTTTTTTAGGAAATGCTGGAGATTCATTATCTTATCATAAAGACATGGTATTTTCAACAAAAGATACAGGTAATGATCAAAGTGGAGGAAACTGTGCCATTGACTACAAAGGTGCTTGGTGGTATCGTGGTTGTTATTGGTCTAACCTGAATGGACACTACTATAGTGGCAACCAAAACAATCTCAAAGGTGTGACTTGGGTTACTTGGAAAGGTAGTAAATCCTTAAAGTTCACTGAGATGAAAATAAAACCATAAAGAATTTCCAAAGACTGTGATGTTATAAATTTGATCATTATTTCTATTGAAACTTTCAAAATATAATAACGAAAAATAACTTTTATGTCTGTTAAAGATCCTTTATAATCATTATCATTTAAAAAAGCGTGGAAAAAATTGTTAAAAATGCTGTGGTGAAATAATAACTTTCTAATATTTTCCCTAAAAATTAGAGCTGATTTAGGTAATTATGAGATTCTAATGTTACGTCTTTTCACTCATTTTTTAATGAGATGTTGCTCTGTAAGTAGCTAATTTTATATTTTTGCCACGTTCCACGCATTCTTAGTGTATCATGCATGTCATGCAATTATCTTATATAATTATTCACTATTTAAGCAAAGTCACTTTTGATTGGTCAATTACCTGCAAATAATTTTACATATCAGTAGGTAAGATGTCTATTTACAAATAACAGTTTCTACAATTATGGACGCCATTAAAAGCCGGTTTTGAAAAAAAGTCAAATCATAGCGATGTTTTCCACAGTTTCTAAAAACGATGTAAAAGCTTTCAAACAAGAACCATCCAGAAAACAGAAAAAGAGCGGCAAAGATAGCTTTGAATGTGCTTACAACATATTTAAACAAGACGAACTTGAATAAACCAGCCGACAAAAAAAATTAGCGAAGGTTTGAAAAATGTTTTATATTGGTATGTGTTAATAATATTTCAGTTAGTTAAAGTGAAAAAAAAACTTATTGAACTCGGTTTTCGTAGCTATGATTTTAAAAATTTTTCAGACCTCGGCAACGTGTTCTGCCTCAGCTTTGCTTTTGCAGATAACATTGACCTTGGTCTGAATAATTCTTGATATCATGCTCAACATTATCCAAACAATTGTTTATTACCTTCTGCATTTTGGTACAAAGGTGTTGTTTGGAAAGATAGGATAGGATTTTCTTATTCTTTAAAATTCACTGAAATGAAAATAAAACCATCAGGAAATTTTTAATAAAGTAATGATTTCATGACGATAATGAATACATCTGTAGGGAATTTTAAAAATTTTGTCGTAAAGTTTGTTGTTTAGTCTTTGAAAAGAAGTAAATCTCAGCAGTCACTATTCGTGGTTCTTTATATGGATTTGGTTTAATATTTATTGAAACCGTGTAGGAAAAAAGGCAACCCAACTTCAGCTTGCTTTTGTGCATAACTAAAATTACTAAATAAATTACCATGAGCTTTCGAATTTGTGTTGTTTGTATTTAATTACAGAGTTATTCCCTACCACTGTAGCCTATTATCTAATACTGCGTGCTAACCGCATGGGTCTTGTGCCCAGATCTGCGCGCCGTTCCTTGGTTATTGCATAACCTCGTATGACTTCTAAAATCAAGAAATGCAAGAAATTTGAACAGAAAGAGAATTTTAACTTTTAATTCAAAACACGTTTCCACCCTTACATTTAAGGTAAAGTTTATGGTTGATATATAGTATATAAATCGTAGGTGTAATAGATCAAAGTTACTCTTTGAAAAGTTCTTTTTTGTTTAAGTTTGTTTATATGTAAAACCGAAAGACTAAATTTTTCTTTTTCTTATTAAAACCTCTTTTGGCATGTGTTTAGTTAAGTAGGATCTAGATAGATTTTGCATAAATGCTATACGCCATTGATTAAGTCACTTAAGCGATATCTACTCTTTCCTTGCACAATTTCCAAGATTTTTCAAGTTTTGGAATCCTTTTCTTGAATTTGGGTTTTAATGTCTTGTGTAGAATCTACTTCGTCTCTTCTGCTTCTACTTCTGTTTATTTATGTCAAAGCTAAAACAAATCCACTTGACCTTATGAGACGTATATTTAGCTTATTTAAATTATAGTACTATATATTTAGCTTTTGTTCAGTTTGAAATCATGGAATAGATTTAAAAGAATTTCGAGAATTTCTGTTTCGACAACGCAAAAAATCCATGAAATTAGTATCATCACAATAATATATAATGATCATTAATTTGTCCGAAATGAGATCAATACGAAACAGTAGTCAGTGGTCGTATTAAACTACAGATCTTGAGCTTTCTTAATTATTTTATTAAAATTATTGATCAATTGAAGGCTGCTTAAAATCACTGTTTATGGCAAAGGAATAAAGAATTATACTTCTTAATAATTGAGGAAGGAATTATATGCTTCTGAAGTTTGCTATTCTTGACTTCAGTCAATGGGGGCTCCTTTATTGTTTCATTATCTCTGCTGTATTGTTCAAAACTTGTTTAAAATATTATGCCTATATTTTTGAAAAACACTCTTATTATACCTTTTCCAAAAAAAATAACATCTCCCAAATTTTTAACATAGACCTATATGTAAACAGGCTCAAACCGACATGTCTGCAACAGCAAAAATATTTGAGCGATGGTAGAATGATAAAGCAATCACACATCTATTATTTTGGATCTTGATAATTGATCATACAAGGTCATGAAACTCTAAGAAAAAGTAATTTATTTTCTTTGAAAATGCGCTTGCCTTTTTTAGTGATATATTGCTTCAGCTGTCGTTTGTTCTGTGCACTTTCACCTACGTCTTACTTTGAAATTGACGTTTGTTATAAAAGAACTTATCATTAAACTTGTGTATTAAAATAGCATTTATAATCAAAACAGCACTTTATTGTACCCCAAAAGCTTTAATTTGCATACACTTGACAATAAAAATACTTTTCGGGTATTATCGCAAATATTATGGCTGCAGATATCGTAATTAAAAACCCATTATGGCAGGAATTTAGCAAAAATTGATTTTAGCTCACAAAACAAAACAGGACGTCTTTAACAGTTACTTTATTTATAAATGATTTTGCAAAGTTTTTACGTTTTTGATTAATACAGACCTGGTGGTTTTAGCAATCAATTATTAACCACGATATGTGAAACGAAGACAAATTTGAGTACTTACTGATTAATAACTTAGTAGTTTTAACTTAATAAGTTGTCTATCACATAGGATATAATTAGTGTGAACAATGTTTTAAGGTAATGTTCACCAATACATCAATTTATAAATTATCATGAAGAAAGAAATATTTCTACAAGCTTAAGCCTCTTGGATTTAAAGAAAAATCAGCTCTTACGGCCTTACAGCTAGATTGCCTAAAATATCCCAAAGTGCTTTATTATGTAATCTAAGAATAGTTTACATGCAGCTGTGCATGTACAAAATATAATTTATTCTTCATGATGGTGGCTATATAAATGTTCTCAATTTTCCTGTCTGTTGTTCGTCGTTAACATGAAAATGACAACCTTGCCATTTTGATTTCTTACTAAAGTAGCACACTAGTGTACATTTTAATCTCAAAGAAACAATTGTACTTGTCATATTTAACGCTTGGCTTATATTCTAGCAATGCAGTAACAGAAACATTGTGGTTAGAATGACTATAAACAAGGCTATGATAATCTTAGTTCTGAATTCTTGCTTGGACTGTATGAAATACGCTAACATCAGCAAGGCAAAATAAACTTTGCGGTGACCTGGGAGACTGGTCAGAAAACAAAAAACATGTTGAATATAATAACTGTTACATGTTTGTAAATGTAGATCGTCCAGGTTGGCATAGTCCTGAGAAGGACTGTTTTTGTTGTTGTTGACTGACGTTTCGACAACCTTAGCGGTAGTCATCTTCAGAGTTCAATGAGGAGTAAAGTCAGGTTAGCCGTATTTTTTAGCTGGTTCTTACCTCATTGTATTGTGTGTTCAGGAAAAGTGCGGGTGTCAATTGTGTATTGTCATTGTGAATTAATGTGAAGTGTAATGTCTTTAGTTTATCGTTTGTTTGTATTGTGAATAAGTCGTTTGTAAGGTGCCGGTAATTGCTGTTTTCTGTTCAGGGGGGTTTGTTCAAAGTTGGTATACCAATTTTCTAATGTAAGCCGTTGTCTATAGTCAGTGCTGTAAGTAATGCATTTTGCCGGGTCCCAGTCAATGTTGTGCTTTGTGATTCGGTGATGTTCGGCAATGTAATTAGTTCTGTCTTGTTTCTTTGTACCTCGTTTGTGTTCAGTAAGTCTTATGTTTAAGTTCCTGCCACTTTCCCCGTTTCACATGTTCGAGACTGGACTAATGTTAAGGACTGTGAGTGAAAACAATATAGCAAATGATTTTAAAATGATTGGATGTCATTGTTTAATTCACGCTTTGTCATTTTGTCTCAATTTAAATTAATTTCGTTATTATAGCTAATGGACAAGAAAATGAACGAAGGAAGATGACAGGTGTCTTTAAACATTTCGAATAATAAAAAATAGCAAAAAAATGTATGCAATACAACTGCAATTTCACGAAAAGAAAAATGTGATTGCTCTTTTAATGTTTTCGTGAAATGATAAACCTAATCATTAAAAATTATAATTCTTTATGTTGAAGGATTTTCCCCAGCTATAGGAGTTTCTTTGTTGTTCTTTCATAATCGCTGTGAAGTATAAAAACCTTTTTATCACCTTATGAATTAGCTATATGCATGCATTTTTTAGACTCTCTTTTTAATGAAATTTTATTCTTTGAAACATTCTTTTAAACATATAGGTTCTATGTATTTTAATACTATAGAACTTCAAGAGTGAGATGATTTTTTCTTTAAAATGCTTTTATCTTTTAGTGATATATTACTAACGCTTCATCTGTTGTTTGTTCTGAGCACTATGATATACGTCTTACATTGACGTATATGTTTTTGTAATAGAGCTTATCATTAAGCTTATCAAGACAGCACGTCATTGTCCGGTAAAAGCTTTTTAATTTCAGTCCAATTTGAAATAAAACATTTTCGGACATTAACATCATCATATAGCTAGATATCGCGTAAAAACCTCTTATATATGGTACGTACTTAGCCCAAAATTAATTTTAAACGAAAAACAAAACAGGAGAAGTCTGTACAACACTAATTTGAAAATGAGGTTTTTGCAAAGATTTTAAACTAGAAACGTTTGCAATTAATACAGACCTGGTGTTTTATTTATTATTAACAATAATTTGTGAAAGGAAGGCATATTTGGGTACTTAATAATAAAAAAGCTAAGTTTTAACTAACTCATCTATATATATTTTGTCACATAGGTAAAATTAATGTGTAGATTCTTTAAGATCATGTTCACCAATACATCAATTCATCAATTATCTTCAAGAAAGAAATATTTCTACAAGCCTACGCCTCATAGAAATAAAGAAAAATCGGCATTTATGGCCTTATAACTCGATTGCCGAAAAAAAAAACCCAAAGGGCTTTATTATACAATCTAAGTAAAGCATACATGCAGCTGTGCATGCACAAAATATAATTTATACTTCATGATGGTGGTTATATAAAAAGTTTTTTTAACACAATGTGTTTACTTTTTTTTATGCAAGATATTGATGCTCGTTTCTGTAGTTTTTCTTTTAGTTGCTTTTTGCTATGCATCACATAATGCTTGTCAAAGCGTACAAAGTGGTTTTATGAAGACAAAAGACAATGGTATGTT